TCTAGGGGCTGGTGTCGATGGGCTTTTCTTTGCTTTAGATGGGTTTTGTGTTCTCATACAAGTCTATAGGAATAATTTTTGGACTATATTGTTTTGCACATTTACGTTTGTTTTGCAGTTCTAGCACAGACATTTCTTCTTTTTGCAAAGTATATAGGAATGCAAAACCCACATGAAGCAACTCAATTGTAACACAGAACTGTTGGAACTTCTTGCACAGCCTCACAGAGAAAAACAAGCTCACAGTCTAATATGCATGCTGCTTATAGCTTGGAAACAGGAAGGTAGCCACAGCTTTATTCTCTACCTTATTCAATACAACAGAGTATACCATAGATATAACAGAACTTATAAACATTGCCATCTAGTGACCAAATTGTATACTGCAGGATTTATTGCAATAAATACAATAATGTGTATTCTAACACCCCCACTCAATAACTACTCCTTATGTCAATCCCATGAATCTGGCTCTCGCTTTAATGATTCACAAGCAACATAAGATAGATGCTTTGCTGGGATGCCTTTGTTGCTTATTATGGACTTCCTGACTGAAGGATCTTCTGGCGTGGCTTCATCTTTTTAAGAATTTGTATTGTCTGTGTTAATTTCTATTTCTGTGTCACTCTGTCTCTTGTCTTTGTGTGACATTGATGTGGATTTCCCTCAGTTTCAGGCATTTGTGTTTAGTACATGAAATTTTGAACACACTGAGGTTTCATCAACAATAACACTTCTGCAACAGTTATCTTGTTTGTGTCTGGTGTCTTGAAGGATTCTGTATCCCTTTTGAGATTCACTGTATCCCACAAGTACACCTTCTTTTGCACAAGCATCCCGTTTTGTACGTTTTTCCTTTGGGATGTGCACATAAGCTTTGCTTCCAAATTTTTTTATATGCTTTTAAGTCTGGTGCTCTTCCATTCCATAGTTCATATGTTGTTTTCTCAGTTGATTTACCTGGTAGCCGGTTCTGGATATAGCATGCAGTCATAACTGCCTCTCCCTAGTATGTGGTAGGCAGGTCTGCATCAATCAGCATGCTCCTCCCACTTTCACATAGAGTACAGTTCATTCTCTCTGCAACCCCGTTTTGCTCTGGGTTGTATGGAACAGTAGTTTGAAACATTATTCCATGCTTTTTGGGAATTGTCTGTGTGTTGCCACTTGTATAGTCACTTCCATTGTCTGTCCGCAAGGTATTAGGCATTTTACCAAATGTGTTACTTACTTGAGCCAAAACTGTTCAAGTTTCTCTGGTACTTCACTTTTGTTGTGTAGCAGATACAATGTAGTGCCATATTTTGCGGTCCATAAGACGCACCGGACCATAGGACGCAGGGAGGTCCGGCGCGCCTTATGGAGCACTCGAGACTGTAGCTTCTGTGACAGCTTCTATGACAGAAGCTGTCACAGAAGCTGCAGTTAGTGACCGCTGAGACAGGTGGCGCTGTGATTACAGCGCCACGGTCTCAGTGATGACACAGAGCAGGCGAAGAACGTCTATTCTTCGTCTGCTCCATGGTTATCTCGATCATCGCCGCTGCTCGGTTTTAATACGAGTGATCTCATTAGATCACTCGTATTAAACGAGCAGTGGCTCCTGCTGCTGAACTCGATCGCCGCCGCTCGGCTTTAATACGAGTGATCTCGTTAGATCACTCATATTAAACGAGCAGTGGCTCCTACTACTCGCCCGGCGCCCGAAACTGCATGTCTCGGGCGTCGGGATTCGCTCCATAAGACGCAGGCACTTTTTCCCCCTCCTTTTGGGGGGAAAAAAGTGCGTCTTATGGAGCGAAAAATACGGTATATCTTGAGTAATCATCAATAAAAGTGAGAAAATACCTTTTCTTTCCTGGAGTTAATTTTTCCATTGGACCGCATAGATCTGAATGAATTTTGAGCTCTGCTGTTGCTCTGCTTTGGAAAAGCCTTTCTTGTCATTTTTCCTTAAATGCAGCAGGTACATTTCATGGTTTGATCACATGGGCTAATATTTATTCCACTTGCATAGTCATTCTGAACTATTTTCTTTATTATGTCAGGATTTCTGTGACCAAGTCATCTGTGCCAAATGTGGATGCAGTTTAAATGTTTCCCCTCTTTGGCGGTATTAACCATTTCACTGCAGTTCAGCTGATACAGTTCAGCTGTGACTTAAGCCTTTGCCAACAAGGTATCACCTTTTGTGATGGCACAATTGTCACCCTGAAAAGTCACTATGGGGTCTATTCACAAAGCTACTGAAGGATCTAGCCGGAGCTTCGGCTGATCCTTCGTGTAGCTTCGGCCCCAGGACCCCTTCGGTTCAGGGCTGCTGTATGGGCTATTCACTATAGCCCGTACAGCCCCCGAAGTTGGCCGAGGGGCTCAGTCAAGCTTCGGCTCGACTGGGCCCAGGGAAAATTTTAGGCTGTTCTGTCATTAGGATGAGAGCTTAGCAGAGTCGGCTTTCATATCCCCGCCGACTCCGACAAGCTCTAATTCTAATGACAGCTGGTCCCGGCCAATAGAAAACAGCTGGGCGAAGAGAGCTGTCACTGCTAGCTCCGCCCAATCATTTTTTATTTTTGTTTTTTCTACTTTTTTAACTGTTTTTCTATTCTGCTCGGTACCACAGAGGCAACGAGCAGAATAGCCGAGCCGAATGTCGCTCAGCGGCATTCGGCTATTCACTCACTGCTGTCTGGCATCTATAAGAATAGACCAAACAGCAGCGAGTAGCCTGCCGGAGGTTCGGCAGTCGAACTCCTTCTGCACCTAAGGCAGATTGTGCTCTGAGCTTTCAGATCTGTCTCTGTCCATTCAGCTGTGGGCTGTGCTGGACTGACTTCATCCACACACTTCCACGTACCTTCTCTTATTAGCAGCATTTTCATCTTGAATTTCCATGACTGGTCGTTCATTCAGATTTGCAAACAAAAGCTTTGTTGCTGCTGTGGTACTAGCCATGTAGTTCTAGTTGCTGTAGTCTCTTTCTGTTGCTGTATCTTATGCTTCTTTTCTTTTAGGCTGTAACTGTGCTATAACTGGACTGTAACTGTGCCTGGGCCCATAACATGTTGGAACTTCTTGCACAGCCTCACAGAGAAACACAAGTGGCTTGCCCATTATATGTTAATGAAGCTTATCAGATAAACACAATCCTCAAATTTCAGTCCAATAACAATACCATTGGGACAGACCTCTGTGAAAAGGGTAAAGAAAAACCTGGAATCGGCCATCTTGCCTGATTTGACAAAACAACTAAAAGGTAAGGATTTTTTTTAACGTTATTTTTCAGTATGCTGTGTGAATATGAACACATAACAAACATATAGAAGGGTTTTCCTAAATGTGACTGCAAAAGTGGAAATACACTTTAAAAATGCATTTAAGTACCTTAACTATTACCATAAATGTAGATTAATTGTGTATCATTTGGCAGTAGATCTCAAATCTTCTCTGAATTCATGCTGACACTGTCCTTCCTTCTGGAGGGTGGCTACTTTTGTTCCCCATGGTCCCTGTGTGTGTTGTAAAGTCACCACCACTCCAAGCTTGCTTCCATGATGGACTACAATCTCAATACAAATTAGTAAACTAAACATGAGATTTTAGTCAAGGAGAGCGAGATTGGAGCGGTGGCTACTTTACAGCACACTCAGGGACCATGGGGAACAAAATTAACAACCCCCCTGAAGGAAGGAAAGTGTCAGCACCAATTCAGAGATTATTTGAGGATCTACAACCAAGTGATACACAAATAAGATACATTTTTGTATCAGTTACAGTATCAGTTATCAGATACAGTTAAAAGAGAACTATGGGGTAAGTGTTTTTCCCCATAGTTCTCTTAAGGACATACTGTATACTAGCGTCTTCCTGTGACCCAAAGCTCAGTATATTGCGAGCTACAGCTCACAGTATACTGAGACAGCTGCAGCCGGGACGGATCCCGGCAATGCTGTCGAGATCCACCTAGCTATGTGAATAACAGCTGGCTCTGTCTATCTAGAGGCAGAGCCAGCTGTGCCGCCCCCATCCGTTCCTCCAGTCAGTGCTGGAGGATCGGAATCAGGGAGGGGGGAATGCCCGCGGGGAGTGGTGACTGACAGTCACCACTCTCTGCAGGGAGATGATCGAGAAGAGAGTGAGCGACGGTATATGTTCCGATCTATTGAGCCGACGTGTGACAGTTTCATTGTCACAAGTCAGCTCGAACTATGAGGATGAGTGATTTTGACTCATCTCATAGTTCTCCGTTAAGGTACCTGAATGCATTTTTAAGATTTAAGGTTTAGTGTCTCTTTAATGAAGCTCACAAAAAAGTACCAGTATCACTTTCTTCAATGCATGGATTGTTCACATCTGTGCATTACTGTGTCCTAAAATTCACATATGCTGTGTTGCACTAGTTATATGCATTGGAGTGCTATTTACAATGTAAGTGCAATTCAAGTAAAAACTTTTTTTAAAGAGTTGGATGGAGTGGAGCGGAATTAAAATTCGTCAGCTTTTTATTGGTATCTGTGTCCCCGTAAGGAAGATGCACCCTCTTTATTTGTCCTCGAGACAGTTATCATTGAAAGTGAAAGAAAATGTGAAATTGAGGGTTGTCATCAGAACAGGAATAGATGGGATATCTTCCAATGAGGACACTATTTCTGGTGACCCTGCTGACCACCAGGGATTTCCTTCATTTTGAAAGAATTTCCTCTGATATCCTGTTGTGGCTATAAGACAGGAAGTGAAGGGAAATCTCCCCAATGGGACGCAGGTGGCAAAAAAAGTTGACGGGGGTTGTAACCCTCCATTACTCTATCCAAAATTAAAGAAAACATTTTGGCTTCAGTTCTACTTTAATGGCTCTGCTACACATTGCTCTTAGTTTCATGCAATGATGTGGTAATGCTCAGTAAAACATGCAATTTACCACATGTTACCCCAATGCATCAGTGTGAATGGGCCCCTAAATGTTGCAAGCCTTATAAAACACTGAAAAATATGAGATTTACCTCACTGCCCCTTTCCGTCATGTTCACGTAATCAAAGTCACATATCACAAAAGCAGTGATATAGGTTGACATTTTCAGAGTAGTGTTAAACATGGTAACCATCCATTTAGTTCCATTTTCATCTTCCCTTTCAGACACATCTGTGGAAAAGGAATTTAGGTTACTACAGAAATAGTCTAACAAACATGGATCTGACACCTAAATACTTACGTTCTGCACTTCAAGATATAAACCATTGTGGTTATAGAATAACAGTAGGATGTACAAGGTGCACTGACCCATATAACCCATCATAAATAATGTTTAACTCTTTTCTGCCAATCGATGCCTACATGCCCAGGCCACATTTTGCAGTGTCAGCATGCGTCGGTTAACCCAACGACGGATTTGCACACCTTAATATTTTCATATATTTTTTTAAGAACATAAATGTTGTGATTTGGTATGCTGTTTTAACAAAAAACTAAAACATATCTGTTCTTCTGTTAGGTTACTGAATTCTGATGGGCCTGTCCCTGATTGTTTGTTGACATCAGCAGCGAAAGTCTTCTTCTCCCGGCTGAGCCTGTGCAATACATCCCATGGACTTCTCTGGGCCTGGCAGATGAGCCCCATAGAAGCATTGAAGATTTACATCACAGACATGCCAGGAGAAGGAGACGTCTTCCAAAGGATGTCAACAAACATCTAAGGCTGGGCCCTGCGGAACTCAGAAAGGGAGCAGTGCGTCAACTTAAAGGGGTCTAAAGGATATGTGCACTTTGTTTTAAAGTGCCCTCAACATCAAAATACATGGCACTGCATTCTGAAGGTGGCAGTGTTCATATAACAGACTGAATGCTCTTATTCGTGTGAATAGAGCCCCAAGTCTGCAGATCTGACATAGTACACACATGATTAGGAGCCACTCTGATTGGTCAGTGGGAACCCCTGCTGTCAGTGGCAGATGCAGGTTCTTATGGGGGAGAACATTTATTAGGGTGTCCGCAGCATAGGACATCGTGCTGGGTAATGTTAATAAATACATGGTGAGCAGGAAGGGGTTAACTGACTGTCAGCATTAAACCAACTGACTTGTAGAGGAACCTTATTTATTTGTAGTACAGTATTTATTTATTGCATTAACAGCTTGTTGATTCAAAAGTGTACACCCAAAAACTGCCTACTCACTGTCTGCCAAGAAGAAACCCCAAAAGTGGACAAAGGCCAGTATGAAACCTTTGATTTTGATGACAATTGTTTCTTCTATTTGCAAAATAGTTCTAAAACCGTAAAATTCCTGTCCTTCCTGACATACTGTCCAGAATATACACAATAAACAGGATTTTCACTATTCTTGAATATCTGAATACCATCACCAGCCTAAAATTCTTTGTAAGAGATTGAGATTGTGTTATCAAAAGTGATAATTGAAATCAGCATACTGCTCTAGATACAGATTTGATATATAGATCCAGGAATGCTAATAAAAGGGGAGGTTTGGGATCTCATCACTCCACTCAAATTCATTACACAGAATAGCTCTGATGACATAAAAATAGATCAAAGTATTTAAAAATGTTGGTCAGTTTGAAAACAGGATAACAAGATGAAGCATCTTGTTATACAGTTACCGGGTTATTCACAAAAAGGTGAAGAGTTTGGAGAAGGCAGGAGAAGTGAACAATCTAGGACAGTGGTGGCGAACCTTGGCACTCCAGCTGTTTTGGAACTACAAGTCCCATGAGGCATTGCAAAGCTCTGACAGCCACAGACATAACTCCCAGTGGCAGATGAATGGTGGGATTTGTAGTTTTGGCACAGCTGGAGTGCCAAGGTTCGCCACCATTGATCTAGGACAACATAGCTGACCTGGAAAGTGTATTGGAGAATTTTTCCAAATCAGCTATGTTGTGCTAGATTGTTCACTTCTGCTGTCTTCTCCAAACTCTTCACCATTTTGGGAATAACCCTGTTAGATTCTGCGTCATGTAAAGAAAAAATAGATCTCCATCGAATTGATTAATCAACAGGGGCCATACAATTCCTGGTTCTTGCATACAAATCTACGATGCTCCATTTTCCAGGTAGGATATTGAATTTACAATTACAGAAAAATACAACTTGGATTTTCTTGTTTTATTTTTAACAGCTAGATTTTACATTCACCTATTAAAGTTTGTAGATGTCAAAATATAGCTTGTTATCAGGTTGGAACTCACAACTTTGGCTCGATGTTGCCTTATTCTGTTAAAGCTTTGTGAATGTTGCCTTATGTCAGTTTTATGCAAACAGCCTTACTTGAGAGTGGCTACCAATAGCAACCAATTATAAACCATCCTGTGGAGATCGGACATGAGCAGAGTGAATGTATGGTTGCTATGGGTTACTGATCAACTTTTCAAATAATGCAATTATTATTTAAATTGTATGAAAATCACTTGCAAAGAAACACTGTCATACACGTAGTAAATACGGTGATGTCAAAATGGTTTCTGGACCAGAAGAAGGCTGGGATTTTATTAAAACTGAATTACATATGAAAAATTAACATTTGCAGCATTTATTTTTTTTTACCGTTGAGCAACTTTCTCAGCTTTTTGCTGACAATCTCGATGCATTAATTATTTTAATTAGCACTCATGACTGGATGAATGTATCTCATGTTCAGAATACAGGACATTGTTTTTATGTTCTGGGAAATGTGTTGACAAAACAAATGTAACGAGATGCCAATCTGTTTTTTGCTCATCATAGTAAATTACTGCTCATGTGCTAGCAAAGATTAAAGATTGAAGATGATTTTAGATGCAAAAGGAAGTAAACATTTTTAAAGTAATGCAAATATAATAGCCTGAGCTTGCATATTTGCATGGACGCGCATGTTAGCATGTGTTGGTAAGGTTTATCGATTCAGGGGTAGTGCCAGACTGGGAATACAAAGTAGCACTGGCATAAGCAACACACCAGCCCACATCTGTGCACATAGCCTAGCTCAGCTAAATGAATAACAGACATATTATTTAGACATAATTAAGTAATGGGGGGCTGAGTGCTTGAGTGTAGTGCAAATCGGTGGCAGCACCGGAGCCTGCAGCAGAGTTCCACAACTGAAGGTTAAACAATCAGGACCAGGCCAGTTACAAACCATATCAGTTGCAGGATACAGTGAAACAGTAAGCAGGCATCCCAACTAGAGATGGGTTTCCCAAGCAGTTTTTTTTCCGGAAAAATTTAAATAAAGAGTGTGGAATATGTTCTTTTACAATGATAAATAATAAATCTTTGACATGGTATTCAAACTATATAACATGAAAACCTTAATGAAAGATTTCTGAGACTTTATGAAAAGTCTTATATTATTGCACATTCTCTCAGCTGAAGACAAGCAAATCCTGGAATACAATTCAAGTAACACCGTACTTCTGAATGCAGTTCTAAAACTCAGAAAGAAATATGCATTTCTGTCACTAGGGGCACTGCAGAGGAAAGGCTCCAGTTTAGTTAGCTTGTGGGCTCTATCTTGTACCTCCTACAGTTGGGTGATTGTTGGTATGATGGTAGATGATAGTTTCTGTCCTCTCAGGCCTTAATTGACAGGTAAGAGGGTACATTTGTCTGGCAAAATATTTTATCTTTATTATAACCTTTAATTCATTCCTAATAATGTTCTTCGCCATCACAGTATAATGTTTCCCTATAGTCTGGTCAGTGAATAGTTTTTTTCCTCCTCTCAGTAAAATGGTGAGACCAACATCTAGAGCAGGGGTCCTCAAACCTTTTAAACAGGGGGCCAGTTCACTGTCCCTCAGACATTGTTGGGGGCCAGATCATAGGTTTGAAAAACGGGAGGGGAGGGGGGGGTTTGTGGTGGCTGTGGTGCCATTGACTTCAATGCACCGCCACGCCCCCTCCCGTCCCAGAACTCGCGTCACAGCTTCCTGATTGGTTAGAAAGCTGGTTTCACTTGTTCCTAGGCAGCTTGGCTTCCTGGAGAAAAATTTCAAATCTGCCATCCGGCTTCCTGATTAGTTAGCAAGCCAGGCTGCTTAGGAACACGTGAAGCCGGCTTCCTAGCCAATAAGGAAACGGGTCATAACCGCCCGGCTTCCTGATTGGAAAGAAAGCTGGCTTAATGCTCCCTCCGCACTGCTGGACAGAGGGAGAACTCCCTCTGACTGAAAGTTCCGGTATGGGGGATAAGTATCGGAGCATTTGGACGAGTACTTGCCCAAATACTCGGTATCAGCACCAATACTAGTATCAGCATCGGTGCATCCCTAGTGCAAATCCATTTTATTGATAGTTGTCATTCAAACGACAAGTGCATTTCTGAGCCTGATGAAGGGGACCCTGCACGGCCCCAAAACAGAGATCCTTTTAATTACCATTAATATAAATGACTGAAAAATTTAAAATATAATAATGTGTTATTTAATCATATAAAGTACAACTGCTGAAATACAATACATTCACCTACCTATAGCTGGCATATTAGAAAGAGCCACATAACTGGAATTGTGGACAATCCTGGTTTTAAAGGTTGCTTTAAGCGCTGGTTCATCAAAGCACGGGTAAACTGTCCTGGCAGATGCTGGCTCCAGCTCCGACCCCACTAGGACTCTGCAGACAGAAATTAAGAACCAGGTTTATAGACTGACATTTGGTGTTCACAAGCATTGATTATTTGTAGGGACCCGGATATGCATGTCATCAGTACACAGACACAGACCCCAGAGTAGAAACAAAACTGCTAAATAAAAAGTAGACCATTAAAGAGGTGGTTTTGGATTATCTGTCCTGTTATGTGCTAGTTTACCTGTAAAGTAATAAGTAATTTATTTAATACACCAATAAAGTACCGGTATCTGATTTTCTGTAAGAAGGTTGCAGAATGTTTAGGTGTATTAAGATATACAATATCAATATATACTAAAACATATAAGATAGGCATTACAGTCGCCACAAACGCCCGGATGTTGCGTATGATATTATGTTGTTCCCGTTTGATCTTTGGTTAACTAGGCGACTGGGGCTAGGAGACATAGATGCGCTTCCTACGTTTGTAAATGTATGACATCATTACTCAACTGTATATGTGTTATATGTTTCCTGTAAAATGTTGGCTCAAACTGAAAAATAAAGAATTTAAAAAAAGATATACAATATCCAATATTCATGGCCTGAACTCCATGAACTTCAACCAAGATCCCTAAGCTGCTGAATAGAATTGAAGTGAATTGAGTACTGGCGATGTATGGGGCTAGGACAAGGTGCAGGGGCAAACAGTAAGACATGGAGTGCCAGGCAGGCAACATAATGAAAGTGAATGTGCGGGCAAAAAAAACACACATTCAGAGCATCTCTGCAATATATGTACATTTCTTCATATTTTGTCTGTTTCAAAATGCATCAAGTACAGAAAAATGCCTGTTTATCCTGCCAGAAATCATGTCAGCTCCTAGGTTTCTGTAGTGAGCTGACAACTCTATCTCTACTACACTGAAATCCCAAGCAGTGTTGTCAGCTCTGCCTGTGTTCAAGTATATTCAGGTTTTTATTCCTGCTGGCTGGATAAAGTGATAGGGAATTTTTGTCACGGCCCATGAGAAAGGATTTCTCTCATCTCCTGTTCTAGTGACAGTGGTCACCAAGAGAGGAAATAAAAGTACATTTCTCCATTGGAGATGCTGACAGCAATAAAACACAAAATTGTATATTTACCTGTCATTAACTTTCCTTTCCTAATGTTAAAGCATGACAAAATACATAACCCATGTGTACGCTACCATGCTTGTGGCAAGCAAATGGAAAATTGTATACATACAGTACCTCTTGGTAATTTTCCAAACAATAAAGCATGGGAGCAAACACATGGGTTTTGTAGGCTGCCATGCTTGTGTCATGAAAAAACTTATGCAAGGTTTTCACTGCTCTACTGTGTCCATGTTGGGAAATTTCCCTTCACGTTCTGCTCCAGGACCACTGTCCAGGGCAGCCATCAGGGGGGGGTACGGCCGATACTCATGTAAGGGGCCTGGGCAGCCTGGGGGGCCTGCCCGGGTCCCTTACATGACTATCGGCCGACGGTGAAGGGCGAGGAGGTGGAGGCCTGGCCCTAGCAGCGACGCTGCTCGTCTGATGTCGGACTGTCCGGAAGTGACGTCACGTTGGTGATGTGACGTCACTTCTGGCCGGTCCGGTGGTAGACGAGGCCATGTGTGCAGGTAAGAGGAGCTAGGGAGGAAGGAAGGAAGGAAGGAAAGGAGGGAGGGGAGGGATGCAGCCCTGACCAGCCCACCTGAAACCCCTTCAGAGCCCACCATAGACAATCTATGGTGGGCTCTGCGGGGTCACTCTCAGGCGGGTCCTGTGTCCAGCGCATCACTAAGCCATGTGTCCAGCGCGTCTCTAAGCCCTGCGTCCAGCGCATCACTAAGCCCTGCGTCCAGCGGCGGAAAGGGGGGGGGGCAGCCTAAAGCCGTGTAAGGGGCCCCAAAATTTCTGATGGCTGCCCTGTCCACTGTCAATACGGAAAAAGAAAAAAATGGTTGCACAAGCTAAGCACAAAATTAGCACTCACCACAACCAATCCGAAACCTAGTTCTGGCCTTGTCAGAACTATTGGGCCAAAAGGAATCGATTTCATAGGCCTAAACATGTAATTCTACAGATGTGTCTATGGGCATACTAGTAGCCATTTTGTCTATGTCTATATAAGGTGAAAATAAGTTAATTCTTCTCTTGTACAGAGACCTTCATAGAGAGAGATTAGGAATGTTAATATAAACATTCTTCAGATCATAAATGGTGGGGGTCTCAGACGCATATCAGTTTAGGATAGTACCAGCCTGTGTCGGTCTTGATTGATGACTTTCTGGCCTCCACGAGAATACAATCTACAAGAAAAGTGGAGTTTCTAAAGAGTTTTTTTTGTTTTTTGTTTGTTTAATGAATAAGAAGAAAGGGGCTTATTTAAAAGTTCCTTATGAAACATTAATATTCATTGTGGTGATAATATTAGTAACAATGTTATGATAATAATATTATATTATATGTAGCATCTATCTGCCTACTTAATTGACTGATTTTAAGTTGAATTTTATACATGTACTTTTATATATCCAACTATATTCATTATATATTGGTTGAGTGTACCCATTGAAATATATTCGTGTGTATTACTAATAATGGGGTTTTTATATTTAAGTGCAAAGAATTAGATGGTACATTCTAATGTATATTCTTTTCTTATAAGGTATGAAAAACCTCGGTCTTAATACTTCTACCTCATTTTTAAGGAATTGAGAAAGAATGTTAATTGCTTGCGAATATACTGTAGTTCTCAAGTCGTAAATTAGAGGGCAGACTCGAGGTCTGGCACGGTGTGATTAGGATTGTCAAAAGTTTACATTCATGGTTCTGTCCAAGTCTTCGGTCAAAGGTCATATCACTGCCTTATCTTTAAAAATTAGTGAAATTAAATGAAATGCTCCCAATTTTTACATAGAACAACAGTGCCCCCTGATGGTGATTGTAAGGGAAAAGTCTATAACCATATAGGGCATTTGACGTCATGTTTCACATCAGTAATCACGTGATAGATCAAACCAAGCCCACTCCGCAGGGGGGATATAGATCAGGAGCAATGATGGGATAAATATCGCCCATGCGCTGTGAAAGTTAGAGCTGGTGAAAATCTGTGCTGGGAGAAGTCACATGTCAATTCTGAGTCTTTCGTTTTCTTATTCTGTGTGATACTGAAAAGACGCCCATTACATTTAAAAAGTTGTTTATCTTGGTTACATTTATCTGTTGAATTAATATTCAGTGGTTACATTTTATGCATTACTTGTGTTATCAAATTGATTGATATTATCTGATCCATATTCTTTGTTTGTCACCAATTATATTTTATTATTGTTTTTGCACTGATTTTGATAAATAAATATCTATATTTTGTATACTTTGGTATTCCTCTTGTCTTCGAAGTCAGCGCAAATGAAAGAACTCGCGTAAATTTTGATTTATGGAAATACATTGGGAATCTCCTTAACCATAGATTTTTAATTGTTTCCATAAACAGAACTGTATATTAGAGCAGTATAAACATTCTGACAGCCTGGCTTTAGAAAAAAAAATTCTGATTGGTAATTGTGCATCAATGAGCTTTGTGCATTGCTCCAATATTTATTAACAAGCTTGGCCCAATGCCAGCCTCCCCCCTTCCTGGTCTACCTTCTCCCCTTCTGGATGTCCCCTTCCACTTGACATGCAGGGTCACCTTCCTCCTCTCTTCTTGGTCCTTAATGATGCAGGTAGTCTTGCTGATGTAATGATGTCAACACTAATCTCTGCATTCCCGTTCCATGAGCCCAGGGTTGCTCAACAAATTGCCCCCAAGGGCCTGTGTCCTTGACTCCCTGGGTTCACAATAAGTGGTCTGATTAATGCTGGGCATCAATCAACCTGGAAAAAAATCAGCGCTGGACAACGAAGCTGTGAGTCTTTAGAAGACAAAAAGGAGGCAACAGTGAGTATTGCAGCTAAAGACGCTTTTTTCATTTTTAAAACAATGTGGGCAATAGATTTTTAAAAGAGAACTATGGCCACACCTTTTTCTTTGGCTATGGTTCTCTTTTGGGTCACAGGAGGACATTTACTAATGTCCTCCTGTGACCCAAATTCAGTAAAGGGCAGGCTGCTACCTGCTATATGCACACACCGCGGCGCCACGCTGCAGCTGGGAGAGATCTCAATAATATTATCGGGATCCACCTGCTGCTTGACTGACAGCCTGTTTTGTCACTCTAGAGCCAGAGCCATCTGTACCCGCCCCCTCCCCTTTTCTGTCCCACTAATGGAGGAACAGAGAGAGGGGAGGGGGAATCCCTGTGGGGGAAGGTGACTGACATTCACTGCTCTCTGCATGGAGAAGCCGTGAGCTGAGCAATCAGTGATTTGTGATCACTCAGTCCTTGAGCTATAGAGCCAGCATGTGACAGCTGCAGTGCCACACACCAGCTCAAAGTATTGGGAATTCATTTTACTTTCCCAATAGTTCTCCTTTAAGGAAAAAAATGGAACTTGGTTTTAATGTAATATAAGTTACTTCAGTGGGTACAGTCTGTACCAAGGACAGGGAAGGATTTTAATCTTCCCAAATCTTTGAACAATGCAGAGCAGAATGTACATTTGTATCAAGCACTAAGCCTCCCCAAAACAGCAACTGCTGTGAACATTCTTAACTCTTTGCATTTAGTATACTTTTCCCATTAAAGCTATAATTTTAAGATTGTGTCGTGATTGCTCATATTATTCTTTGTGAGCTAATGACTTTGCACCTTGTTGAGATTTAATCCCATATCTTATTAACTGTGAATTATTATATGTCATTTAAGTGGCTCAAAGAGAGCAGACTTTTATTCTGACAGAACACGTTATTCTAAATATAAATGTTTTTAAATCTTCTCATTTTCCAGTTTAGAACTTTATTACTACAGGGCATATCAGTGATTTCAACGCATGCCATAAAATAAACATTTGGAGAGTTGTTGAAGATTCTAGGGAATGTCAGAGAATTTACAGCAGCTATCATCTGTATAGGAAGTGATTTAGTGTCT